AATCATCTGTGTCAATGGGGAGAAAAACTGCCTTTTGCTTACTACAGATGTCAGCATGATCAAATCTTCGGAGTAGTTCTTTAATTCCGGCAGAATCAATAAGGAATACATATTGATTTTTTTTAAATTGCGAGAATGACGTATACTTTGGCAGATGACAGCGGTCTTTTGACGGTGGCGCCATCGACATAAAGCTTTCAGTTTTTCTCTCCACTTCACTTCGTCAATTTAAAGTCAAGAATGATGTTTTTTTATGTATTTCAGTAGATAATCATCAAGATATAAAGATTTAGCTCCTTTTATTTATCGGTCGATAACATTATGTCTATTAATGTCAAGAATTTTGTAATTGAATGTCAATATATGTTATTAGAATTAGAGATATGTTAGACACATTAAAACGTAACGCTTGTCAGGCAATTCATCGCGCTTTGGTGATATTCAAACTAAAATTCGAAAAAAACTATTAAATTGGAACTAATTATAAATTAATCAATAAAAAATCTGACATAAATCTTCATTCAAACTACTAGTGGTCGATTCTATTACTAAAAAGAATATAAAAAAATTATTTGCTTCTATTTAATTTTAGAATCCTAATAAAATAACTGAAGGGTTACACGAAGTGCATTCGCTTAGAAGCGATTCCATAGAGAATTTCATAAATGTATAGAACTGAAGCGCGACAGTCACGTGACTTATCGAATGTTATCAGTTCTATACATTTTTGAAGTTCGTTGTGGAATCGCTTCGTAGCGAATGCCCTTAGCCTAGTCCCCTGATATTATTAAAATGCGATTCCTCAATCCCATGTCACATGGATATGAAAATCCTTATGACGAATGGGGACGAGAATTTTTAACCACGTGACGTCATCAGAAAGCCCGAAGACCAGCAGCGGACTTTCAATGGAACTCTACTATAGTCTGTTTTGTCAAAAATAGTAAATAGTTTAACAAAATGTATTGTAAATATGATGGGTTAAGATATATAAGTATTATGCATGAGTAGCGCTGTCTTCAACAAAGTCTCGCGCCTCGTCCTGTGTGACACACTCGACGTGCGACACTTTGTTCCGGAACTTCACGCCGTAGAACTTATGCGCGTGCTCGAGCAGCTCCGGTCTGAATGTCGTCGTGATGAACTGCGCAGACGCAGACAATTCGTGGATCATGTTGGCTATCGCTTTACGATGCTGCGCGTCCAACGCCTGAAATTTGTTGGAGAAAAAAATTAAAACTTTGTTAATGGAATAGAAGGGCAATTTTTTAGACGAATATTATGCTCGGATTAAAAAAAAAACTAAAATGGCCTAAATCACTCTGGAATATATCACCTACCTGTAGAAGTCCCCCAAAAGCAGTCTAGCCGTTACTTATATATAATTTTTAATTTCATTATAAGTACCGCAAATATGTTTTTTTTATGACACACAGACACACCAATTTTATAAATTAAAAATTCATATTTCCTATTAGTACATAATAATAATATAGTTACCTGATCAATTTCATCAAATAGATAGAACGGTGCGGGATCGCACTTCTGTATGGCGAAGATGAGCGCGAGGGCGACGAGCGACTTCTGTCCGCCGGAGAGCTGGTTCATCTCGCGCATGTCTCCCTCCCCGCCGGTGAACGACACCTTGATCCCCACTCCGGTGAACTGGTCCGCGTTGGCGCGC